ATTTGAGCAGGTAAGTAGGAAAACGACTCTAATTCTCTGGCATCTGCTTGCATAATTTTCTCTGCTTTTCTAACTCCCCATGTTCTAATTCTCTCTCTTCCTTTTGATAACTCTCTCTTCTAAAATTATTTTCACTTATTATTTTATAGCCTACTTGTCACTCCCTCACAGTTGTAATCTTGAATCTTCAATCCACTCTAAGTATTATGTTAGAAAAAGTATAAGTAATGTGTGTCCCAGGTACTCCATTACACCTAGCACATGAGCGAAGTGTGTTACCTTTACCCTTGCCAGAAAAATCCAATAATTGATTCATAATCTGAAGAACTCTAGGTTTGTTTCCTAAATATTACCATGGTAGATAAAACTTATTGAGTCCTTACTATATGTAAGTGAATTTGTGATAGTGTTCTTATTTTAATTCATTCAGTCCATAAAAACTATTATGTGAGGTAGAAATGCTAGTATTTGTTTTTCACAGATTAAAAAAAATCGGGGCACATACAGTTCAGTAACTCACTGTAAGACACGCAAGTGGTAAAGTGGAGCTAAGGATGCGAATGGTTTAACTTCAGTGTTAGCGCTCTCAATCATTGTGTTACTTATACAAGTATTGGAAAGGGCTCTTACATAAATGTCTCTATTCCTTTCACTTTTAATACATCTACAAGGTGTTTTTAAATGATAAAATAATAAACAATGCATATGAAAAATGAAATAGGTCAACTTGAATGCAAAGAAAAACAATAATATTTTAAAAACCCCACTACCTGCAGAAATTTTTTGTGAATCTTAAACATTTATTCATGCAATCTTCTATTTCTCCCTCTCCCTAAAATGATTTATACTATATACCTATTTCCGTGATTTATTGATGATCTTTCCATGCTACTTAATGTAGATTTATACAAGTGGGCTTTTAAAAGTCAATAAAATATGAAATTAAAAGGTATTGGAATTTTTCCACAAACGTTTTGAAATCCCTTTGTACTACCATATTTAAAGCTTATATTTTATGGATGTGTACACTTACTTACTTAGATTTCTAATCCTAAACTGTTCATCTGTTTGCAACTAGTATTATAAAAATACTAATACTTTACAAAAAGGTATCAATTTACTTAATTTTTCCTTAAGATTAATTTCAAAATGTAGGATCGCTATATCGTAGTTTAAAAATGTTTGAGTTCTATTAGCAAATCACCCTCTAGATTAAATGTTTCACTGCACATTCCCATCAGCTGTAGAGCAGAGGCACTGATTCCCCGCTCCCCATGCCAATGCTGGGCTCAGTCATTCTGCTTTTTATATTTGTGTGAATATGTATATATACATACACAAATATAGAGACAGAATTACTTTATATTGTATATGTTTATAATATATATTAATCTAATACATATCCAGAATTTTATATATATACAACATTGCTTTATATATAATATATATTATATAGAGATATAGATAAGTAGATATGTAGATCTCAGAATGACTGAACCCAGCATTGTTATGGGACTGGGGAATCAGTGTCTCTGGTATATATATAAAGAACCTATTTTTGAATTTAGAAAAAATTAACATCAAGTTGATAAAAATTAATACATGTTTTATTAAAATTTTACTCTTACATTTAATTTTAAATTGTCTATAGTTCTTTTTCCATAAGACAGAGGAAAAATTTGGTAAAGCATAGGGTCATTAAAAAAAGAAAGCACTCAAAGCAATGACTGACACAATGGCTGTAGCAATGGTCAAATACAGTGATAGTGAGAACGGCAGAGGACCAGGCGGTGTTTCTTTCTGTGCACAAGGGTCATATGAGCCAGAACTACCTGCAGAGCACCTAACAACCTCAACGGCCAGATGAACGGTAGGATGGCCACACCGCTATGTTCCCATTGTTGAACAGCACATTGAACAACTCTTGAATACTATGAATTTGTTATTGAGTATTTCTGTTTCCTACATAATTTAATGATTTCTTTATCATACAATGAATTTTCTGATGTGTATAAAATTAATTTTTAGCTGTTTTTTCCATTTATCTGCTCAATTTTAGTGAAATTAATTTTTATTTAATTATTGTAGACATGACATACTCTAACAATTTTATAAAAAACACAGTCTTGTCTCATCTCACCCCCAGTATATTATATTTCCATTTCAAAATTTCTCTAGCTACTGAAATGGTCTCTGGATGACTTCCTAATGTTTCAAGGAAATTCCACTGGAATCTTCATGAAAAGTGCAATTATTATATAAATAGGTCACTGGAAATGGATTTTTATTTTCAGTTTGAGTCTTTCTTTTCTTTTCTATTAGCAAGGCATGATTTTTTTAAATTAAGGGTTACAAATATGTAACAAAATACTATTTTCAATAAATTATACACGTTTTGGCATTATTTCATTTATAAATACAATATTTTAGTCATATTTTTACAGATTACTAGTGATTTTAAAAATATTTATCAAAATGCACATATTAGATTTAATACTTTCTAGCTTTCAAAAAGAAATTTGTGTGATTTGCAAATGATGTTAATTTTGCAATCTTCTATTCAATGTTTTTGCTTCCTTTCATTTTCTTTATTGCACATTATTTAATTAGAGTGCTTGTAGTCTTTCTGTATTCTTAATACCAACGTTTCATCTATAGTCTGATACTGTTGGTTCAGAAATTGTATTAATTCTATACATCCTATTAATCACATCATGTGAAAAAATGTTTAACTCTTTGTACAGTTCTAACAGTTTTTTCAGGATGAACGTTGAGTAACTGTTCAGATGATCCATTTCCTAAAAGTTTTATTGAAATCAGATAGATCTCACTTCCTCCACTCAGAGTCTTATGTTGTGTGCTGTAATGACAGAACAACAAATGACTTGAAGTAGTGGAATCATATGGTCGTGTTTAATTTTTGTGTATATATCGTTGAGCATGATTGGACACAGAAAGATAATTCCAAACTCTTTTCTATGATACAGATAGAAAATATGTATATAAGAAACAAGAAAATAATAAAAATGAAGAAGAGAAAAATTAATTGAGAAAGTATTTTAGAGGGATAATTGTGCTTCTGAAGATGAATGTTAAGATAGAACAAGAATGCTATACAAAAGGAGTCTATATATTTGGAATTTGAGAGATTGATCATGCTATTTACGAAAGTATTTGGGTTTATTATATTATTATAAACTCTGTTTTGAAACAATAACTTGAAAGAAGCGCAAAGATAAGGCTACAGATTTGGAAGTCATCAACATCTAAGTACTCGTTAAAATTCATAAAAATTTTAAAGTGCTGCAAAGTAGATAGTAACTTGAGCAACACTACAGAACAGAGTGGAACTGCTCACAGGTGTTCCGAGGCTGAAATCTTAATAGGAACAGGCTGCCACGTGGAGTAGCTAGTCACTCCTGTTAACCACTTTCTGGTCAACAGTCAAATGCTTAATCACTGCACCTCCAGGGACCCTTAAAATTATTCACTCGATATTCTAAAATAATTTAATAAAAACTTAGGACAAGGTCATCTGAGAAGTTAAGAGTGAGCAGAAAACAATAATCCTGGGTAAATAAAAGATACTCCAAACTCATCTAGTCAATTCTGAATGATAGTGACTCGTTAGACAGAGCAGCACTTCCCTTGTGGGTTTCTGAAACTGTTCATCTTTACAGAAGTACAAAGTCTCAACTTTCTCCCAGGAAACTGCTGGCAGTTTTGAACTGCTGGCCTTGTGGTTAGCAGCCCTTTGACTAACACACCACACCACCAGGGCTCCTTAATTGAGAGATCTAAAGATGAAACTATAGAAGAATAAGTAGGAGAATGCTGTCATAGGAAAAAGAGCTCCAATGTTTTCAATATGGGCCTGCTAATTGAAAGGCTGGTAGTTTGATCCGGCCAGTCATCCCATCGGAGAAAGAAGAGACTTCCTTATAAGGTCTAGGAAGCAGTTCTACTCTGTCCTTTAGGGTCACAGAACTGACTTCATGAATCTGGGTTTGGTTTGTTGTTGTTTACCATAGATACACTGACATTGCATTCAGTTGTAAGTAACAGCCTTTTTTACAGTACTTTTAAAAAATTAGTGTTTTTCTCATATTACAAAAAATAAAACCCCAAAAGTAAAGAAAAACCACAGATGATGTTGGTTAAGTGGCTCAACATGTCTTTTGGGTTCTAGTCCTTTCCAACATGGTTTATGATGTTCTGCATCTCTGGATACAGACTCGGCTCTGACATTTTGACTTTCAGAGATATGGTTTCATTCAGTTGCCCTTGTAAATTGAACCTAATGAAACCTTCCATGTGCCAATTTTTGTGAAGTTTAAAAGACACAGTGTTCTAAGTACAGTGTTTTACACGAGGACAGCACTTAATACATGTTTTCTATTACTATTATATTTGTTTAAATAACATTTTAGGTTTAATGTCTTGTATACAATATTATATTGTATATACAGGTCCATAGGTGCACCAATGACAATAATGCATCATCATCAGCACATTGTGAATAATCTGAAACATGAAATTAACTTTCATTGTAAACTGTGAAAAAAGAACACCTTTGATTTGACTTAATGACCGCATTTTAGAATGTTAATGTCTGAGTGAAAAAATATACACATATGTAGGTGGAGAACACCTTGATACGTTTTCAGAAAAACTGTCTATAAACTCTCAAAGGGCAAATATAAATGGGTAAGAAAGAAAACGTCTAATGGAGTAAGAAGGGAAATAATTCAATTTTCCTCCACTAAAATTTATTCAAAATTATATTTCTCTTTTTATGTAATCACTCTCCTCCTGACTGTATCCATCCTTATATTTACTTTGTTTTACTTCTTTCATATTCAATGAATTGTAATTTTAATTATGAAACCTAGAAAACAAATTACCAAGGTGAATATAAATCATCTTTTAGTATCTTGAACTGACAGTTCCTCATTCCCCATCTACAGGTTATTGGAAAATCAGCTCCTCTGTGCCAGCCCATGGATGCACTAAATCACTCTTTGATTTCGGACTTTGTGTTGCTGGGACTCACTAGTTCTTGGGAAACTAGAATTGTTCTCACATTGACATTTTCCTTGCTCTACTTAGGGATCATCCTGGGAAACCTTTCCATTTTGTTTTTGGTGATTCTTGATTCTCACTTACATTCTCCTATGTACTTCTTACTTGCCAACTTGTCCTTCATTGATTTGTGTTTTGCCTCTACAACAGTTCCCAAGATGATCACAGACCTTTTAAATGAGCACAAAGTAATTTCTTTTCAAGGCTGTATGACACAGGTATGCTTCATCCACATCACAGGAGGAGTGGAGATGGTGTTACTCATAGCCATGGCATTTGACAGGTACACGGCCATCTGTAAGCCTCTTCACTACTTGAACATCATGAATCCTAAAGTGTGTGTTTCAGTTGTAGTCATTGGCTGGGTAACTGGGATTATTCATGCTATGTCCCAGTTTTCATTTGTTATTAACTTGCCCTTTTGTGGCCCTAATAAAATAGACAGCTTTTTTTGTGACTTTCCCCGGATTATAAAACTTGCGTGCATAGATGGATACAAATATGAGTTTATTATTGCTGCCAACAGTGGGTTCATGAGCATGGGAACCTTCTTTTTGCTCATCCTTTCCTATGCCTTCATTTTGGTGACCGTCTGGAAACGTTCTAAAGGGGATTTATCCAAGGCATTTGTCACTTTGTCAGCTCACATCACTGTGGTTGTTCTCTTCTTCACTCCCTGCATGTTTCTCTACGTGTGGCCTTTCCCCACATCTTCACTTGATAAATATCTATTCATTGTGGACTTTGCCATCACCCCTATCTTGAATCCTGCCATCTACACATTAAGAAACAAAGACATAAAGATAGCAATAGGAAAATTGAGAAAAAAGCATTATTATATCAGATTTTGCTGAGTACATGTATTTTCATAACTCTAAAGTCACATATTGCCTGCCTCTTAGACATTGCCACTTTAACATCCCACATAATTCAATGTACCATCTATTTCCTTAAATCTATTTCTAGTGTCTCTGTAGAGAATTTGTTCATTGCCTTTGCCAGTCTGTGAAATGTGAATTCATCGTGATAAACTTTATTTTAGCAGACAGGAAATATCTCATAAATATGATGTTATTATTGAAACTATAATTGGAAATAAGAAAGGATATAATTGTATCCCTTCTACTTCCCATAAGGTCTTCAAATCTACTGAAAAATTGTTTTGGTGATTGTCATGAATATCACATGGAATAGTAAACAGGCAGACCCACAAACTCTAGTTGATTACTCAAGGTTAAGTTATCCCAGAAGAAAACCAAGGACAGAAATGTTATTTCAGATACTTTATTTGGAACCTGACTTTGCAAACATCAGTAAGAGAGTGGGGATGAGGCCAAGGAGGGTACTTACGTTGATAGATATAAATAACACGCAAGTCAACACTGACTCCCTTGAAGACTATAGCAATTCTGCTCCTCAGAATTGTCCCAATTTAAGGACAAGAACATTAGGGTATTTCTTCATTTTAAGAAGGCACAAAATTCCTTGGCATATCCACCCAATCACAAAAACAATGCTGTCCATGCTATGAAGCAAGAGACAAATCAGCGGGTAAAATGTGAGGTCCTGTTAGCAGAGAACCATCTCTTTATTTGGAAAGTTTAAAAGCTAAAGTACATTCTGCTATTAAAATCACTTTGACTCACTGTAACTTTATTCTGTCACAGATACCTTAAAGAGGTAGCTAGTCAGTATTTCATAAAATAATGACTTATAACAAGAAGATAATGGGACAAGTTACCATAACACCACTTCTCCTATTTGATATTTATATTATCATCCTCTACCTATTGTTGTTAGCTGCCATCTGGGCAGTTGCGACTCATACTGGTCCTATAGTAAAATAAAGCACTGCCCAGGCTTCACAATTGTTGTTTTAAGCCCATTCTTGCAGTCGCTGTGCCAATCCATCACATTGAGGGTGTAACTATTTTTAACTGCCACGCTACCAAGCCAGATGCCTTTTTCAGGTATTGGTCCCTCCAAATGAAGCGTTCAAAGTACTTGAGACAAAGTCTCATCATCCTAGCATCTACGTAGCATTCTGGTTATACTTCTTCGAAGACTGATTTGTTTATTCTTCTGGTAATCCATGATACTTTTGATATTTTTCTCTATTACTCTATCTCAAAAGCGTCAAATCATCTGTGACCCTCCTTAGTCATTGTCCAGCTTTCACAGGCATATGAAGCCATTGAAAACACATGGTTTGGGTCAGAAACATCTTACTCCTGACCCAAAGTGACATTTTGGCTCAACACTTTAAAGAGATCTTGTGCAGCAGATCTAGCCAATTTCTTTTCTGCTGCTTCCAAGAACATTGATTGTAGAATGAAATCCTTGGCAACTTCAATTTTTTTCTCCATTTACCAAAATATTGTCTATTTGGCCAGATGGGTGAGGATTTTTGTTTTCTTTCCACTGAATTGCAATCCATATTGAAATCTGTGTTCTTTGATCATCATTAGCAAGTACTGCAAGCCCTCTTTCATCAGGCAAAGTTGTGTCATCTGCGTATCAGAGGTTAATGAAGATTCTTCCAACACTAATGCCAAATCCTTCATATACAGTGAACCCTCGTTTATCGCGGTTAATCGGTTCTAGACACTACCGTGATAAATGAAATTCCGCGAAGTAGGATTCCTTATTTGTAAATCAAATATTTTCGTAGTTAGAGCATAGAGGACATGAAAAAACACCCTTTAGTCACCATTACATTCGTATTACGCAATTTATTAAACGAAAAAGGGAAAATACAGTAAAACATTTTGGACGTTACAATTATCATTTATTATTTATTATCATATTTATGGCATCAAGCGTGTACAGTATAAGCTAATCAGTGGCAGTAATGACAGAGCATGCGCTGTTACGCAAAAACCGCGATAGAGTGAAGCCGCGGAAGTTGAAGCGCGAAGTGGCGAGGGTTCACTGTAGTCCAGTTTCTCATATTATTTGGTCAGCATACAGACTGAACAACCATAGTGAATGAAGATGATCCTGACACCTTTGCTAATTTAAAACCTTGCAGTATTCCCTTTTCTGATAGAATAGCTGCCTCTTGGTCTACAGGTTCCATATAAACACAAGGGTTCTGGAATTCCCATTCTTTACAATATTATCCGTGGTTATGATCCGCACAGTCTAATTCTTTTGGATAGTCAATAAATTACAAATAAACATCTTTCTGTTCTCTCCTTTCAGCCAAGATCCATCTGATATCAGCACTGACATCCCATTTGACAAGCGAAATCTGGACAAATTGAATTTCTGGCAGGTCCTTATCTATACATTCTGCAAACCATTGTCGAATTATTTTTAGCAAAACTTTATTTGCGTGAGATATTAATACTGTTGTTTAGTTATTTCAGCATTCTATTTAGTCACCTTTCTTTGAACATGTATAAATATGCATTTCTTACAGTCTTTTGTCCAGTTATCTATCTTCCAAATGCCCTGACAAAGAGAGTGGGTGCTTCCATAACTGCACCAGTTGGTTGAATCATTTATATTTTTATTCCATAAATTCCCAGAACTTTGTTTTTGCCAATGCCTTCAGCACTGCTTGGACTTCTTCCTTCAGTACCATCAGTTCCCAAGCACATGCTACCCTTGGAACAATGAAACGATAGATTCTTCTAGGTACAGTGAGTCTGTGTATTCTTTCCATCTTGTTTTTATGTTTCCTGCATCAGTGAACATTGTAGCCATGGAATCTTTAATAATGCAAACTCTATGCCTGAATTTTTTCCTGCAGTTCTTTGAGCTTGAGAAATGCTGAGTGAGTTCTTCCTTTGGGCTTTCTACCTCCAGGTCTTTTCACATTTCCTTATGAGATTTACTTTGTCTTCGCAAACTGCCCTTGACATTTTCTGTTCAGCTCTTCTTTCACTACATCACTTCTTCTATTTGCTTTAGCTACAGTCCTTTCAAGAGCAATTCATTGAGAAAATCTGCTCCACAAGATCTCTTTATTTTTTTAAATCATTTTATTAGGGGCTCATAAAACTCTTATCACAATCCATACACACATCAATTGTGTAAAGCACATTTATACATTCATTTCCCTCATCATTCTCAAAACATTTGCTGTCCAATTAAGCCCCTGGCATCAGGTCCTCATTTTTTCCCCTCCCTCACCGCTCCCCCCTCCCTCATGAGCCCTTGATAATTTATAAATTATTATTTTGTCATATCTTGCCCTGTCTGACATCTCCCTTCTGTTGTCCATCCCTCAGGGAAGAGGTCACATATAGATCCTTGTAATCAGTTCTCCATTTCCAACCCACTCTCCCTCTACACTCCCACTATCACCACTCACACCACTGGTCCTGAAGGGATTATCTGCCCTGGATTCCCTGTGTTTCCAGTTCCTATTTGTACCAGTGTACATCCTCTGGTCTAGCCAGACTTGCAAGGTAGAATTCAGATCATGATAGTAGGTGGATTGGCGGGGGGTGGGGGTGGGGGGTCTTTAGGAACTAGAGGAAAGTTGTATTTTTCATTGTCGCTACATCGCACCCTGACTGGCTCTTCTCCTCCCTGAGACCCCTCTGCAAGGGGATCTCCAGTGGCCTACTAATGGGCTTTGAGTCTCCACTCTGTGCTCCCTGCCTCATTCACTATGGTAAGACTTTGTTCTGATGATGCCTTATACCTGATACCACATTTGCTTATGCACCCATTTGTATCATGGTGAGCACACAATGATATGATGTTTTGTTCTTTGATGCCTGATAATTGATCCCTTCGGCACCTCGTGATCACACAGGCCAGTGTGTTTCTTTCATGTGGGCTTTGTTGCTTCTGAGCTAGATGCCTGCTTGTTTACCTTCAAGCTTTTAAGACCCCAGAAGATCTCTTTAAAGTATTAAAGTGCAAAGATTAAAACCAAGCCATGGTATTCTTAATAGCCTTATAAGTATGTGAAAGATGGAAAACCAAAGAAGAATTGATGCTTTTGAATTATATTGTTGGAAAATAATTTAAAGTACTTTCAGAAGAGCAAAAAACATCAGTCATAAGGAAATAAAGTTAGAATGTTCATTATCAGCAAGTATAGTATGCACTTTAGACATGTTATCCAGAGAGATCTGTTCCTGGGGAAAAACACAGTACCTCCTGCTCAGTAAAGTAAAGGGTTAATAAAATTCAAGAAGACTCAGAACACAGTGGCTGCAACAAAATGGGATTCAGAATAACAATAATTGTGAGAATGGTCCAGAACTGAGCAATGCTTTGCTCTGTTGTGCATAGGCTCCCCACGAGTCAGCAACAACTCAATGGTACCCAACAACAGGAAGCTTAAGAGCAAATTTAAGAGTCTCTTCTGATTTCCTGTTTGTTTTATTCTTTGTCTTTTTAATGTCCTTCTGCTTTCTTCATGTTGAGACCTTCAGTCATTAGTGTTCTATGGTGCCAAATTTGTCCTTCATATGGTCTCTAAATTCAGGTGTGATATAAGCACAATAGTATTTTGGATTTTGTGGACTTATTTTAATTTTCTTCAGCTTTGACCTGAACAATTTATGGTTGTGTTAGTCTGGGTACATTAGAGAAATAAATCCACAGAAACTCATATGTATAAGAGAGAATTTTATATAAAGGGTACGTGTACATTAAGAAAGCATCCCAACCCAGTGCTGTCCAAGCCCATAAGTCCAACATTAGCTTATATGTCTGACACCGATTTACAAAGACCTCCTCAATCTCACAAAACACATGCAATGACGCTGACTGCAGGAGGAAAGTCAAATCAGTGAGCATGTAAGCATCTTAGCTCTGGATCTCCAAAAGTCTGTTCCAGCACCCAGGGCTGCATCAGGGTAGGTCCATGTGGCTTCTCCTCAGGGATGTCTTTCAGGAAGTGAACCTTTCCAGTTAAAGCAGGGAACTGGCTAAGGCAGCTGCACCCTGGTCCAACAACCATCAGAAAGCACAAAACCTTAGAACTAGAAAGGCAAGGCTCACAGTCATTTATCTCTCTGCCCTTCAATTAATCCGACATGTGTCTATCGGCCAGGTTATTCCACAGTGTAGACAATGGTCTATTCCACAGTAGGCCTCTAGGCTAGTTTTGATGGATGAGATTTTGACTGAAAAGATAGATATCTCTTTTCCCAAATGTAGTCAATTTAATTCCTGTATATTCTATCTGTTAAGATACATGTACATAATAGTTGTTTTTACTTTGGGTCTGACAAAATTCTATCGTGCAATATCCAGCTATGTTTCTATGACTAAAGCCATATTTTCCAACTACAGGTCCATTCTCTTTGTTTTTAACTTTTACATTCTAATCACCATTCATTATTCATCCATCTTGATTGCATGTTGATCAACTTCGAACACAAGAGTAACATTCTTCAATTTCTTCCACTCTCACGTTAATGGCAACTGGTTTGTAAATTTTAAGTATAGTTGTATTAACTGGTCTTCCTTGTAGGCATATAGATATTAACCTATCATATACAGCACTGTATTTCAAGATAGATCTTGGAATGTTCTTTTTGACGATGAACGTGATGGCATTCCTTTTGACGTTTTCATTCCAGGAATACTAAATGATATTATTTCACAATTCAAAATGGCCCATACATCCCAGTTCAGCTT